GCTCAGGAAGGGCTCAGGGGTGTTTGCAGCAGGTTTGGATGCTCACGAGGGGCTCAGGGGTGTTCGCAGCAGGTTTGGATGCTCAGGAAGGGCTCAGGGGTGTTTGCAGCAGGTTTGGATGCTCAGGAAGGGCTCAGGGGTGTTTGCAGCAGGTTTGGATGCTCAGGAAGGGCTCAGGGGTGTTTGCAGCAGGTTTGGATGCTCAGGAGGGGCTCAGGGGTGTTCGCAGCAGGTTTGGATGCCCAGGAAGGGCTCGGGCCGCCTTTGCCGTGGCCGCAGCCGCTCGCGGTGTCGCCGCGCTGGGCTCCGCGCAGCCCCCTTGCAGCCGGTGCCCTTTTGGAGCGGCGTTAAGCGATTTTCCTGGATGCGAGGGTTTTTTCCCCGTCCCGGTGACCTCATCGCATGCAGTCATGCTCGGAAAGCGCCGGAGCGTGCCAGAGCCGGCTTAAAAAGCACTAAAAAAGGAAAAAGCATCTTTCCGTTGGCCCGCCGAGCCCGGGCCAGAAGAAAAGGGGCCTTTTCTGTGCGCTGCGAGTGAAAGGCGATCCGCCCGCCGGTGAGTAATGCCTGGAGCCGGCAGCGCGGATTGGGTTGCGAGAGCTTCCCGTGTTGAGCCGGCTCCAGGGGGGCCGGGCTGGCTGCAGGTGCCCCCCCCCCCCCCCATCCATGGGGCTGGGAGCCGATGGGAAAGCACCGGGAGCCGCTCCAGGCGCTGGGGTTATGGGGAGCATGGGGACGGTGCTGTCTGCACCCCCCCTTGGCAGGGCCGGGGGGGGGGGGCCCAGCTCCTGCCCCACATCCCCTGGACACCCCCCACAGCATCGGGGGGGGGCATCGCAGCAGAGTAAAGGGTGCTGGGGTGAGGAGGAGGAGAGGGGGGCTCCAGCCCTTGGGGTGTGATGGGGATGGGGATGGGGCCAGCAGAGGGTCCGGTACCCCTGGGCTCGATTCATGGTCATGGAGTCATGGAATGGGTTGGGATGAAGGGAGCTGAAAGCTGCTCCAGCTCCATCCCCTTCCCCTGGAGCAGGGTGCTCCGAGCCCCTGTGTCCAAGCTGCCCTTGAGCACTGCCAGGGATGGAGCATCCCAAACCTCTCCCTTCAACCCCTTCCATGGGGAAGAACTCCCCAAGCTCCCATCAACTCTTCCCTCTTATCCCATCCCTTCCACCCCAACCCCTCTCCAGGCTCCCCGCAGCCCCTTCAGGCTCTGGCGCTGCTCTCAGGTCCCGCAGGATCCCCTCTGGGGCCGGGTTTGGGTCCTGCCCCCCTCCAACCTCTCTGTGCTCTGCTCCTCCCAGCTCTGAACCTGCTCCTGAAGGACCCCGTCCCCTCGGTCCGTGTGAAGGTGGCCGAGACCCTGGGCCGCCTGGTGCGGATCCTGTGAGCAGGGATCCAGGGCCGGGTCCTCGCCGTGGCCAACCCCAGGGCACTGCTGCATCTGCCCCATCGGCAGCTCCATCCTCACCCCCTGCTCCCGCCGGCCCCCCGGACCACGGTGGGCATTGGTTGTTCAATGGGATGGGTTATGGGGGGGAAGGGGCTGTTGGGGCCATGGGGTTGGCAGCACCCCTGCTCAGGATGGAGCCCCCAAACCCGCTGCTGCTGCTGATCCTGGGTCCCCATCCCTGGGTGCTCTTGGTGGCTGAACCCCCCCCTTCCCCAGGCACTTGTACATAGGTGTATTTTTAAATAAAGCTCTTTGCTCCTCAAGCTTTGGGGGTGAAGGGGGCGGTGGGGACCCCCCCACTGCTGCCCCCTGAGGTGGCCATGGGGGGGGGCTATGGGGAGGGAGCAGCGTGGGATGTGCCTGTGCAGGATCCCCTATGGAGGAAGATGCTCGGTCGCCAAAGGGGCAGTGCGGGCTCTACCCAAGGGGTGCCCCAGTGCTGGTCCTGCCCCATCTCCCCCTGCTCTGGGTCTTTGTCCCCTGTTCCCATCCCTGCTCCCTGGGCTGGGAGCTCACCCGCTCTGAGGGTGCTTCCACCACAAACCAGCAGCACTGAGGGAGCTATGGGGGGGTCCCGGCGCACAGCCCGGCTCCATCCTCCTCCTCCTCAGCGCCCCCCAAGAGCTCTTGGCCCTGGTACTACCAATGGGGCGAGCTGGACCACAGGGCAGCACATGGGGGTCCTCCTTTGGGTCCATTGGGACTGCTCCCCCCCCCCGGGTGACCCTAGGAGCACCACCGGAGGCACCAGCACTGAGAAGGGTTTTTGGGGGGGCTCGGGCTCCACGTGTCCCTATTCCAGCCCTGCAGGAAGCAGCACAGGGATGTACCCCAAAGGATTTAATGGGAAAGGGGCTGTGGATCCCGGCACCGTGCCGGGATGCTGGCGCCGGGCAGCAGCTACGTGTAGAGCCGGATGGTGCCGTCGGCGCCGGAGGAGAAGACCCAGGGCTGTGTGGGGTGGAAGAGCACGTCCAGGACCCCCAAATCCAGCGTTGGCACGTGGCCCTTGAGCACCTTGACGGGCACCAGCAATGGGTTCTGCAGGAGGTCGCTGCGGAGGAGGAGGAGGATGAGGATGAGGAGGATGCTCAGGGATGGAGCACGAACCGGGGCGGAAAAGCCCTTTAGGCTCCTCAGGTCTAACCCCAGCACTGCCAAGGCCACCCCTGACCCACGGCTGTGGGGTTTGGGGTTCATCCCCCAGCCCCAGCCCCACACGTACTTGTAGACCATCCCGTGGCACACGATGACGGTGCCGTCGTCTGAGGCCGAGGCGAAGAGCGGGTACCGCTTGTGGAAGGCCACGCTCCGCAGGGCTCGCTTGTGGTGCCTGCAGGGCCAGGGCATGGGGACGAGGACAAGGACAAGGGCAGGGGATGGAGGATCTGCCCCTGCGCCCGTGGACCCGGCTCTGCTCTCCATCAGGGAATGGCTTGGGTGCAAAGGGACCTTGAGGCTCCTCCAGGGAGCAGGGACCCCTTCCCCTGGAGCAGGGTGCTCCGAGCCCCTGTGTCCAAGCTGCCCTTGGGCACTGCCAGGGATGGAGCATCCCAAACCTCTCCCTTCAACCCCTGCCATGGGGAAGAACTCCCCAAGCTCCCATCAACTCTTCCCTCTTCCTCCTCCTCCCATCCCTGCCTCCCTTGTCCCAAGGCTCCCCGCAGCCCCTTCATGCCCTGGGGCTGCTCTCAGCTCTCCCCTTCAGGAGCCTTCTCTGCTCCAGCCTCCCCATTGACAGCAGCGTTGCTGCTGCTGCTGCTGCTGCAGCCTGGGTGCTGGGTGCTGGGAGCTGGGTGCTGGGTGCCGGTGCTGGAAGCCGGTGCTGGGAGCTGGGTGCAGGGTGATGGGTGCAGAGTGCTGGGAGCTGGGTGCAGGGTGATGGGTGCAGAGTGCTGGGTGCTGGGTGCAGGGTGCTGGGAGCTGGGTGCAGGGTGCTGGGTGCTGGGAGCTGGGTGAAGGGTGCTGGGAGCTGGGTGCTGGGTGCAGGGTGCTGGGTGCTGGGAGCTGGGTGCTGGGTTCAGGGTGTTGGGTGCTGGGTGTTGGGAGCTGGGTGCTGGGAGCTGGGTGCTGGGTGTTGGGAGCTGGGTGCAGGGTGCTGGGTGCTGGGAGCTGGGTGAAGGGTGCTGGGAGCTGGGTGTTGGGAGCTGGGTGCAGGGTGCTGGGAGCTGGGTGCTGGGTGCTGGGTGCAGGGTGCTGGGAGCTGGGTGCAGGGTGCTGGGTGCTGGGAGCTGGGTGCTGGGAGCTGGGTGCAGGGTGCTGGGTTGTTGGGAGCTGGGTGCAGGGTGCTGGGTGCAGGGTGCAGAGAACTGGGTGCAGGGAGCTGGGTGCAGGGTGCTGGGAGCTGGGTGCAGGGTGCTGGGAGCTGGGTGCAGGGTGCTGGGTGCAGAGAGCTGGGTGCAGGGTGCTGGGAGCTGGGTGCTGGGTGCAGGGTGCTGGGTGCAGGGTGCCGGGTGCTGGGTGCAGGGTGCTGGATGCAGGGTGCAGGGTGCAGGGTGCAGGGTGCATGGTGCTAGGTGTTGAGTGCAGGGTGCTGGATGCTGCAGCTTCCCAGGCATCTCCAAGCCCCGCTGACCTCTGGTCCCCGTCCCCAGCCCAGCACACGAGGCACCAGCACCAGGGCAGCGCCCCGATGGGCTCCATCCTGCTCCATCCCCCCCCGAGGAGAGGGAAGAGGCCTCAGGGTACTGGGTGGGTGGGGTGGGTGTCAATGGGGAGCCACGGGCTCACCTCAGCAGCTGGTAGGGTCTGGTGGAGAGGTCCAGGTCGAACCAGGCCAGTTTGCTGTCGTAGCTCCCACAGATGATGTTGTCACCTGTACGAAGCAACTGGGGCTCATCCGGTACCCGAAACCCCCCCCATTGTCCTGCCTGCACCCCACACCGCCCCGGCACCTACCCCCGGGGTGGATGGCCATGCTGGACACCCACTTGCAGTTGCTCATGAGCTTCTTGGTGAGCTCCTGCTTGAGCAGGTTGTAGACGCGGACGTAGCGCTGCGTGGCCACGAAGAAATAGGGCCGGACGGGGTGGAAGAGCACGCACTGCACCAGCCCCTTGCCGCGACGGAAGGGGCTCTGGCTCCAACGCTTGCTGCTCTGGTGGATGAGCACCTGCATGCCGCCGTTGTCCTCCACGACGCTGGCGAAGTAATCCCCTTTGCCGTGCCACGTGAGCTGCTTCACCGCCTGCGGGATGGGGCTCTCAGTGGGGCAGCCCCATAGCGCCCGCCACCCGCCACCCGCGGCCCCGTGCCCACCTTGGTGTGCTGCACCAGCAGGCGGATGCCTCGGCTCTGCTCCTCCGCGCTGGCCGTCACCCACTGCACCGGCTGGAGCCGTTCCTCCTCGGGGGGCACGAAGGAGGCCAGGACCTGGTCCGTGGCCCCATAGAGGAGCTTGTCCCCCAGGCAGGGGTTCACCAGCAGCACCGACTGCTCCCTGCGGAGCCGGAGGGGGGGAAAAGGATGCGGGTGAGGAGATGGAAACCCCTCTGCAAGCCGTGGGATGGCCCCACGGGCAATGGGGGGGGATGTGGGGCTCTGCGAGGAGTCAGCTCCTTCCATAGCCCGAACACCCCGTGGGGCACTGGGGATGGGGGGCAGTGCCCGGGGCATGGACTGATGGAACCCCTGAGGTGGGGAAAGCATCAAACCCACGTCCCCGGGTGCCAGCTCCACACAGGTGCCCCTGAGCCGTCACCCCCAGGGGGATGAGGCCACCAAAGGCAGGGTCCCAGCGATCCCCATTGATGCTGTGGGGCGGCACCAGCCTGGAGGTGCCCCTTGGGCAGGCTCCGGCACGGGGAACACCCCCCCCCCTCCAGCTGTGGGTGCTGTGGGTGCTGTGGGCGCTGTGGATGCTGTGGGTGCTGTGGGTGCTGTGGATGCTGTGGATGCTGTTGGCATTGTGGATGCTGTGGATGCTGTGGGTGCTGTGGGTGCTGTGGGTGCTGTTGTTGCTGTGGGTGCTGTGGGTGCTGTGGATGCTGTTGGCGTTGTGGATGCTGTGGATGCTGTGGGTGCTGTGGATGCTGCGGATGCTGTGGGTGCTGTGGGTGCTGTGGGTGCTGTGGATGCTGTGGGCGCTGTGGATGCTGTGGATGCTGTGGATGCTGTGGGTGCTGTGGATGCTGTGGATGCTGTGGATGCTGTGGATGCTGTGGATGCTGTGGGCGCTGTGGATGCTGTGGGCGCTGCGGGCGCTGTGGATGCTGTGGGTGCTGTGGGCGCTGTGGGTGCTGTGGGCGCTGTGGATGCTGTGGGTGCTGTGGGCGCTGTGGGTGCTGTGGGTGCTGTGGGTGCTGTGGATGCTGTGGGCGCTGTGGATGCTGCGGGCGCTGCGGGCGCTGTGGGTGCTGTGGGTGCTGTGGATGCTGTGGGTGCTGTGGATGCTGTGGGTGCTGTGGATGCTGTGGATGCTGTGGATGCTGTGGATGCTGTGGGCGCTGCGGGCGCTGTGGGTGCTGTGGATGCTGTGGATGCTGTGGATGCTGTTGGCGCTGTGGATGCTGTGGGTGCTGTGGGTGCTGTGGGCGCTGTGGGTGCTGTGGGCGCTGTGGGCGCTGTGGGCGCTGTGGATGCTGTGGATCCTGTGGGTGCTGTGGATGCTGTGGATGCTGTGGGCGCTGTGGATGCTGTGGATGCTGTTGGCATTGTGGATGCTGTGGATGCTGTGGGTGCTGTGGGTGCTGTGGGTGCTGTTGTTGCTGTGGGTGCTGTGGGTGCTGTGGATGCTGTTGGCGTTGTGGATGCTGTGGATGCTGCGGGTGCTGTGGATGCTGCGGATGCTGTGGGTAATGCGGGTGCTGTGGGTGCTGCGGGCGCTGTGGATGCTGTGGGTGCTGTGGATGCTGTGGATGCTGTGGATGCTGTGGGTGTTGTGAGTGCTGTGGGCGCTGTGGATGCTGTGGATGCTGTGGGTGCTGTGGATGCTGTTGATGCTGTGGGTGCTATGGGTGCTGTGGGTGCTGTGGGTGCTGTGGGGGCTGTGGGTGCTGTGGGGGCTGTGGGTGCTGTGGGTGCTGTGGCTGCTGTGGGCGCTGTGGATGCTGTGGGTGCTGTGGGTGCTATGGACGCTGTGGATGCTGTGGGCACTGTGGATGCTGTGGGTGCTGTTGATGCTGTGGATGCTGTGGATGCTGTGGGCGCTGTGGATGCTGTGGATGCTGTGGATGCTGTGGGTGCTGTGGGTGCTGTGGATGCTGTGGGTGCTGTGGGTGCTGTGGGTGCTGTGGATGCTGTGGGTGCTGTGGATGCTGTGGATGCTGTGGGTGCTGTGGGCATTGTGGGTGCTGTGGGGACACTCACACGGCGATGGCCACCAAGCAGATGGAGGGGTTGGGGTTCCAGGCGAGGCTCTTCACCACGGCCCCGACGGACAGGGCCCACACGCAGCGGGCGGTGCTCACCTCCCAGAACCGCACGGAGCCGTCGTCGGAGCCTGGGGGCACCGGGGCAGGGCCTGAGGCAGAGCAGCTCCGCGCCCCACGGCTCTGCCCCACACAGCAGCTCCTCCGCACCAGGCTCGATGTGATGCAGGGAGGTGGGGGGGGGAGGCTGGTGCCAGGGCACGGGCCCCATCCTGCAGCTGCATCCCGCGGTCCCTGCAGCTCCCGTGCTGGCTCCACCGCCCCGTCTTCAGCCGGAGCCGCTGCTCCCATCCCTGCCTTCTCCCATGGGGTTATTTTTAACGCCTGAGCTCAGCCCCACTGCCAGCCCCACACCGGGATCTGCGCCTTGCTCGGGCAGCACCGGAGCAGGAACCCCCCCCAGGGACCCCTTCCCCTGGAGCAGGGTGCTCCGAGCCCCTGTGTCCAAGCTGCCCTTGAGCACTGCCAGGGATGGAGCATCCCAAACCTCTCCCTTCAACCCCTTCCATGGGGAAGAACTCCCCAAGCTCCCATCAACTCTTCCCTCTTCCTCCTCCTCCCATCCCTGCCTCCCTTGTCCCAAGGTTCCCCGCATCCCCTTCAGGCCCTGGAGCAGCCCCAGCTCCGGGAGCACCCGGCCCTGTGTGGGGGTCCCATCCTTACCTGACACCAGCCACTGCCCGCTGGGACTGATGCTGAGGCAGCGCACCAGGCTCGTGTGCCCGCGGTACACCTGGGGATGGAGGCAGGAGCAGGACGTGGGTGAGGGCACCCATGGGTCCCCGGAGCGAGCCCCAGCCCCGTGCACCCACTCACCAGGGCCTGGGTGGTGGGGAAGGGCTGCAGATCCCGGGGTTTGGGCAGCTTGGGGATGAGATCCTCCGGATCCACGTTGACCTGGGAGAGGGAGAGGCACCCGGGCCGCAGCTCAGCACCCCGGGGTGGGTGCCCTGCGCGCCCCGGGCAGGCTGGGGCTGGAGAGCACGAGGGCAGGGCACCAAGAGCAGGATGGGAGCACAGGAGAGGGGTCATGGACGTGTGGGCACGTCCCTGATCCCAGCTCAGGAGCGGCGCTGGGACCGGTGCTGAGGGGAGGTGATGGGCACCAGGAGCAGGGGTTGGGTGCTGGGTGCAGGGCACCAGGAGCAGGGGTTGGGTGCTGGGTGCAGGTGCAGGGCACCAGGAGCAGGGGTTGGGTGCTGGGTGCTGGGTACCAGGAGCAGGGGTTGGGTGCTGGGTGCAGGTGCTGGGCACCAGGAGCAGGGGTTGGGTGCAGGTGATGGGCACCAGGAGCAGGGGCTGGGTGCTGGGTGCTGGGCACCAGGAGCAGGGGTTGGGTGCTGGGTGCAGGGCACCAGGAGCAGGGGTTGGGTGCAGGTGATGGGCACCAGGAGCAGGGGCTGGGTGCTGGGTGCTGGGCACCAGGAGCAGGGGTTGGGTGCAGGAGATGGGCACCAGGAGCAGGGGTTGGGTGCAGGTGCAGGGCACCAGGAGCAGGGGTTGGGTGCTGGGTGCTGGGCACCAGGAGCAGGGGCTGGGTGCAGCTGCTGGGCACCAGGAGCAGGGGTTGGGTGCAGGGCACCAGGAGCAGGGGTTGGGTGCTGGGTGCAGGGCACCAGGAGCAGGGGTTGGGTGCAGGAGATGGGCACCAGGAGCAGGGGTTGGGTGCAGGGCACCAGGAGCAGGGGTTGGGTGCTGGGTGCAGGTGCTGGGCACCAGGAGCAGGGGTTGGGTGCTGGGTGCAGGGCACCAGGAGCAGGGGTTGGGTGCAGGGCACCAGGAGCAGGGGTTGGGTGCAGGGCACCAGTAGCAGGGGCTGGGTGCAGGTGATGGGCACCAGGAGCAGGGGTTGGGTGCAGGTGATGGGCACCAGGAGCAGGGGTTGGGTGCAGGTGCAGGGCACCAGGAGCAGGGGTTGGGTGCAGGTGATGGGCACCAGGAGCAGGGGTTGGGTGCAGGTGATGGGCACCAGGAGCAGGGGTTGGGTGCAGGTGCAGGGCACCAGGAGCAGGGGTTGGGTGCAGGTGATGGGCACCAGGAGCAGGGGTTGGGTGCAGGTGCAGGGCACCAGGAGCAGGGGTTGGGTGCTGGGCACCAGGAGCAGGGGTTGGGTGCAGGTGCAGGGCACCAGGAGCAGGGGTTGGGTGCAGGAGATGGGCACCAGGAGCAGGGGTTGGGTGCAGGGCACCAGGAGCAGGGGTTGGGTGCAGGTGATGGGCGCCAGGAGCAGGGGCTGGGTGCAGGGCACCAGGAGCAGGGGTTGGGTGCAGGAGATGGGCACCAGGAGCAGGGGTTGGGTGCAGGGCACCAGGAGCAGGGGTTGGGTGCAGGTGCTGGGCACCAGGAGCAGGGGCTGGGTGCTGGGTGAAGGGCACCAGGAGCAGGGGTTGGGTGCTGGGCACCAGGATCAGGGGTTGGGTGCTGGGTGCAGGGCACCAGGAGCAGGGGTTGGGTGCTGGGTGCAGGTGATGGGCACCAGGAGCAGGGGTTGGGTGCTGGGTGCAGGGCACCAGGAGCAGGGGTTGGGTGCAGGTGCAGGGCACCAGGAGCAGGGGTTGGGTGCAGGTGATGGGCACCAGGAGCAGGGGTTGGGTGCAGGGCACCAGGAGCAGGGGTTGGGTGCAGGTGATGGGCACCAGGAGCAGGGGCTGGGTGCAGGTGCTGGGTGCTGGGCACCAGGAGCAGGGGTTGGGTGCTGGGTGCTGGGCACCAGGAGCAGGGGTTGGGTGCTGGGTGCAGGTGATGGGCACCAGGAGCAGGGGCTGGGTGCAGGTGATGGGCACCAGGAGCAGGGGTTGGGTGCAGGGTGCAGGTGATGGGCACCAGGAGCAGGGGTTGGGTGCAGGTGCAGGGCACCAGGAGCAGGGGTTGGGTGCAGGTACTGGGCACCAGGAGCAGGGGTTGGGTGCTGGGTGCTGGGCACAAGGAGCAGGGGATGGGTGCAGGTGATGGGCACAAGGAGCAGGGGATGGGTGCAGGTGCAGGGCACCAGGAGCAGGGGTTGGGTGCAGGTGATGGGCACCAGGAGCAGGGGTTGGGTGCTGGGTGCTGGGCACCAGGAGCAGGGGTTGGGTGCAGGTGATGGGCACCAGGAGCAGGGGTTGGGTGCTGGGTGCTGGGCACAAGGAGCAGGGGTTGGGTGCAGGTGCAGGGCACCAGGAGCAGGGGTTGGGTGCAGGGCACCAGGAGCAGGGGTTGGGTGCTGGGCACCAGGAGCAGGGGTTGGGTGCTGGGTGCTGGGCACCAGGAGCAGGGGCTGGGTGCTGGGTGCTGGGCACCAGGAGCAGGGGCTGGGTGCTGGGTGCAGGTGCTGGGCACCAGGAGCAGGGGTTGGGTGCTGGGTTCTGGGCGCCAGGATCCGTCCCTGCCCCCTTGGTGCCCCCAGGTGCTGGAGCCGATCCCGGAGCCCCCCCCGCTGCCCCCCAGGCCCCTCACCCTCATCCTCCTCTGGCGCGGGCAGAGGTAGAGGTCGAGGCAGCGCTCGAAGCGCTCGTGGATGAAGCGGGGGAACGCGGGCACTGCCCGCAGGCTGCGGTGCCGCTGCGGCACCAGGCTCAGCCTCCGCTCCGCCGGCTCCTGCTGCTCCCACGCCAGCCTCTGTGGGGCGGGGGGACCCCGTCAGTGGGGCAGAGGCACCCCCGGGGCCGCCCTGCCCTGCTTCCAAGCCCCGGAGCCCCCCCCCACCACCACCACCCCAAACCTCAGCCCCATGGGGATGCGCCGCCTCCCTCCGGGTGCAGGATGGGTCCCGCAGCGGCAGCGCCTTCACCCTGGACCCCGTTCCCTGCTGTTGCCCCCACTCCTCATCCCATTCAAGCCTGAGCATCCTTTGCTCCCTTCACGAGGTCTCCGCCGGATCTGGTCCCTTGGGTGCCCTTCCAAAGCACATCCCAAACCCCCCATGCCTGCATCCCAGCATCACCCCGCTGCCCCGGTCCCCCCGCTTCCCCACACCTCCTCCTCGCTGAGCAGGTACTCGGGAGGGGGGTTGTAGGACTCCTCGTGCCCGGGCAGCTTCATCTTAGGGGCTGGGACGTGCATCTTGTGGCGGCCCAGGATGGA